GGTATTGTCACCCCGCATTTGAAGATTGACTTTGAGATTACAGCCATTCCCTCTAGAGGTTCATGAGCAGTGTGCGGCCTATGTTGGTAGACGTTTACGTTGATTGCAAACTGATCTATCACCTTTTGAATCTTATTCGCAGTGGTTGGAGATAGAACTGCCTGTGTGGGACCCACCAAGGTGCTCGGGGGCTGCGAGCCTGGTTCCAACAACTGCTATCATCTCCGAGTCGTCCATTGCTCTAGAAGTCTGAAAAGGTGCAACACGAAGAGATGACTCAATCTCCATACGCAGTGTTTCGTATGACGACTCGAAAGAGTAAGAAAAACCCTAATTTTCCTTCCTTAGCCCCTAAAAACCCTAAATGTCCTTGAGAATGAGTTCCCAAGGATCTGTGCCCTAGATTTTTTATTTTTAAGAGTGTTCATTTTTTAACACTACCCAAGGATGTGCATCGTGTGAAGTTTACTAGTCGTTCAAACCCACCATTGCTGTGAAAAAATCGAGTTTTTAACATGAATGAAAAGAAGAAAGAGAAGAGTATTCCTTACTTTTTAGTTGTTGGGGATGAACGTTCTGACGTAGCGGCGAGTGTGCATCAACTGGAAAAAGGATGAACTGATTTTTTGAGTGTAAAAAACTCTGTTTTTTCTCTCTGAAGATTTGAGTTCTATGAAATCATGAAGTATGGGTTGGGGTTTTATAGGGAAGAAGGCGACACTTGGTTTCCTTTGCAAGCGATGTTTGGGCAGGACGCATTCCTAACCATTGGATGCGACCACGTGTCACCAATCCTCGTGAAGATCAATTGACGTTTCCCTCTGTTGGAGACACCAAACGTCGGCATGGTTATCTTCGTCGCATTGAATGTTTTAAAAGGGAATGTCGTTTCAGCATGACTTGCATTTAATGCTCATGGCTGACATTTATTGCGCAAAGACACATTTGTCGGATAAATCTTACTTTATTGACCAGGCCAGCTGTCAAGTGCAACGAATAACATCTAAAGAGGTTGTTCGAATGAAACACTCTTCTCCGTGTATTGAGCTCGAAGCAAAGTGACCTCCAATTTTTGGCGAGAATTTTCTAAGTGTTTTCAGATTGAGAGTGATGGGCAAGGTTCGAAGCATGTTGGTATAGCATTGAGCAGGATCTGACTCCAGGTCATTGAACCTTTTGGGGATGATCATCTCAGGTCGCTTGTGAAGTTCGCCAAGCCCACATTGCGACCTCCACTCAGTTCGTTGGTCAAGTAAAATCATGAACTTCATGTTATTTCAACAATTCTCCACTTGCAGCTTGAGCAAGTGATCCTCGGGATGAGTCAAATCACAGCATAATCATGAAGTTCTCAAAGTTCAAGCCTTGAACCTTAAGAATTGGGGGGCTTTTGTTATGCTAAAAAAATCAAGGTTGACGCAGGCTTACGTCAACGACGACCAATCAAAGTTCAGAAAGACATTATGCCATCCAGGTGCTGCCACATCGTCCAAGGACAAAAGGAGTAAGGTTGTCATCAACTTGGTAGGTAAAGGCTTGGTGAGTGAGTGGTTGGGAGTCACCCACCTACCCAAGCCATGCGTGATTTAAGGATATCTTCTGTGCAACCAGCCAATAAGAAGCAGCGTAGGAACTGTACGGCACCTGCCCGTTGACAGACCCATAATCATTACCTAGAAACCTCTTACTATAAATAGAGAGCTCCCCTCTCATTTTTCAGGATTCTAATTTTGATATTATAAACACACTCTCTCTCCCTCTCTGTATTTCTTTTCTCTTTGATCGCTACATGCAACTTGATTGTAATATTTCATAAATAAAAAGATAGTGGACATAGGATCCGCTTTGAGCATTCGAACCACTTTAAAAATCGTCTCCCTTTTATTTATTTCATTTTCCAGTTCATATGTAATTTTTAAGTCCACTTAACACTTTGCACGTGCGAATAGTTAATGTCAAAATCAAGCATCAACACTTTTGTTGTGTAGTGTGAATTGTATCTTGCAATGGGCTTCATACAATAATACACCAACCTGTCCTCAATGTAAAAATCCCTTTAAGTTCCTTGACGTGCATCGTTCCCTGGACAGCAGGTATTATCTCTAATCCCCTTTCCAGGAGTCATGAGAAATGCTTGGTTCATTAAGCTGAGGACATATTCAATCAAAAAATATTACAAAGTAGAATTTTACTTTCAACCTATTCTAAGCGTGAGTGATAAGTGGTAATTAAATACCAAGTGTTTAATGGGGATGATTTACTGGATTTCGTAACATTTGGAGTGACTTCATAATGCCGTGACTTATTTTCTTGCATAATTGTTCACTAATTTTGTTTTGTTATAATAGCATTCATGATTTTATGTTCGAGGAGAGCGTGCATATTCTAAACAATGTATGTTCACTCTTTTTCTTTTTTTTGGGTAATTAGGGTGTTCGGGCCAGCTTACAGGCCGGAATCTTTTGAACATCTTATAAGCCTAAGGGACCAGATAAGTCACAATATGATAGGAGACATCAAGGTTTGAACCTAAGAACTCAATGAAGGGAACAAACCTTCTAAACCGTCAGGTCAATCCCTTGGGTTATGCATGTCAATTTGACTGGTCTATAGAAAATTGGATACATCAAGTATAAACATTCAACTATAGTCAGAATCAACTCATCAATTTTCAATGACGACTTTGAACATATTATACAACGAATTCCCAGATGCTAAAGAGTGTTGAATGTGGACTGGCTTGAATTCAGAAATATTAATTGGGTCCTAAAAATTTGTGGCTCTTGTTAAAGTTTGATTTCTAATTTAAGAAAAAATTATTAGATCTACATTGTTAATATTTTGGTTCAATCCAAATAGAAATAGCCTAGCTTATGCTCATTCTCACGCATGTTTGCTTTTGAATTTCACGCAACGCCTTTCACTTTAAACGCATATACTTAGTTAACAGGATACAAACCTTATAACTATAAATTAAAGTGATGATTTAATGAGAGAGAAAATTTAGAACATATTTGATAAGAATTGACTTTGTTTTATTTGCAATAAAAATAGGTTAACTATCGAATTTCACAAATTCAATGTAATAGTTGATAATTGGTTTTTAATGAATTCATTAGACGGAAAAATTCATCAAAAACTAATTATCAGTTGTCATGTTGGGTTTGTGAGATTTGTTTCTCACCGTAGTATTGGCCTCTTGTTTGATGTTCTCACACCATTAATTGAATAAGACGGACAAGCCTATTCTAAATAATTTTTTCTTGTAATATTAGGTAATTTAATCCACCCATATGTAGTCCAAATGGTTAGGATGAATTGGAGATAGTGTGAATAAACACATGATATGCAATTTAAGTTGGGGATCGTGATAGTGGTTTACTGCACTAATTAGTAGTTTCCCCCCGGGATTAGTTGATCGATTACAAATTAAAAAAAAAAAAAAAGAGAGAGAGATAATTTTATTGATATCTAAAATGGTATTAAATAAAGATTAAAATTCAGTGTGTTTTCTTCCTAGGTTGAAGTTTGTCAAGAAAAAAGATGACACTATACACGTTATTTTGATATTGAAAATCATTTAAACATATATAATACCACAAAATTAATAAAAAGAAAATGTTTATTTAATTAAAAGCATTTACAATAATATTAAGATGAAACACTCTTAATTTGTACACTTATGAGGTGAATTAAAGGTACCATTTAAAGAGCAATCAACGGAGATTTGACTTTTAATCAATTATTATAATTCGATTTCACATTGAACATTCTCCGGAGATATTATTTGATTAACTTATTATAATCATGGTTAATGAATATGATGTGTGTTCATATTAATTATATTTTTCAATCATGAAAAATGAAATCAAATTCCTCAAAAGAGTGTTTTCAAAAGGCACAATATTGAGATCTATCATGTTAGCAATTTGCGTAAAAATTTGCCGTTCTCATTACACTTACAATTTTCGTTATTATATTTTTCTTTTATGATGAGGACAGTCTTGATACACCCTTTATGATTTCTAAATTAATTACTTAATTTCGTAACATAGAAAGACATACCCTATATATATATATATATCACTTTTACAATACAAACATTAATTAATTTTCGAATTTTTTCGATGTGAAATCTTACCGTGTTTATGTAGGAATTCTAACATGATCAATTCCAAGATCTGAATTTTGATTATAGAATACTGAATTCAAATATTAAGGATTAAAAAAACATAATTCTGTCATAACTTCTGAACTCTTTGAATTCCTTGCAAATAGATTTTCCTTTCCAAAAATACTTCAGAATGACGACTTCCAAATGAGGTTTAGCATGCAATCGTGTTTTGGAAATGGAACCTAACCAATTTATATCAATCTATTGGGTCATCCCATTAAAAATCTATAAACTCTAAACCCTATTACAAGTTCAAGCTTACACTTGTCGTTAACCCAAATTATCAAAATAAAGTGTAACGGGCCATCCCAGAATGATCACATTAAGCGTATCAAGACATGTCATTGGATTATATACATTATTCGATTTTTATTGAACCAAAATATAATTAATATTAGTCCGCAATTAATAAATATTCTAACAATTTAATCATTAGGTTAGTGCCCAAGAGGCCGCTTTCATTATCATTTCTCTCTTAACAACTAAACATTTGTATGAACTTAATAAATGTAAATCTAAAAGAGTGGTGGCTATTATATATCATTGTATAAAAACATTTTACAAGTTTTACGTTAACGTATTGTTTCAACTTCGCCAGGAATTTATTTGTTGCAGTCATGTTTATATCTTGTCTTCAAGCTTGGAAGAGAATCTATAACAGAAAAAAAAGAGAATTGAGTAAAGAGTGATGATGAAAATGGGGCCAAAGTGGGACCTCCATTTCTCTTAGTGGAGAAAATGGAGTAATTGGAAGTGGAAGCTGCAATATCAAGCAAAGTAACCTCTCCATAAAATCCCCATCCGCACCCACCAAAAACCCAAAGTAAAAAAAAAAAAAAAGCCTAAAAAACCAAACCATTTACATCATCATTATCTTCTTCTTCGTTTTAATTTCTTGTGTTCTCTCTTGATTCCTACCTTACCTACCACCACACCCACCTCCTCAACTGTGTCTCATTCTCTCTCCCTCTCTCTCTCTTCCATGCTTTTCCTTCAATTCATGGACTGATTATTTTCTTTCTTACTCAACCACCTACCATTGCAAAACCATAACTCTATTTGTGTTCTCTTCACTTGTTTCTTTCTTTCCATTGATTGAGATGGAGTCTTTCAATCAATCATCCGGGTTCAGGTACACCCCGGAATCTAACGCAATTGAAGAACCAAACACCGATTCTGAATTTTCAGGAATTCTTGAAATTTATGTTCATAACGCCAGGAATATTCATAACATTTGTATCTATGACAACCAGGATGTTTATGCAAAATTTTCCCTCACATACAACCCGGATGAAACAACCTCCACTCGGATCATCAATGGCGGTGGCAAGAACCCCGATTTCAATGAAAACTTAGTGGTGAAAGTTTCCCAACTTGATGCCGTCCTCAAATGTGAAATTTGGATGCTTAGTCGAGCTAGAAATTACATGGAAGATCAGCTTCTCGGATTCGCTCTGGTTCCAATTTCACAAATTGTAGGCAAAGGGAAAGTTACTCAGAATTATAATCTTTCTTCCACTGATCTTTTTCATTCCCCGGCGGGTACTGTCAAATTGACTCTCTCTTTATCCGCTAATTCTTTCCCTGAATCAAGTAATAATAAATCGATATCTTCCGAAGTTGTGTTGCTTGATCGGAAGATTTCTGAAGTTCTTCTCGACCCAGTTGAGTATTCCAGGATTGAATTTCCGGATATCAGTGTGGTTAGAGAGAATCAGCAGATGGTTTCGGAGTACTTCGATGGCTTGAATTCCGGACCTAATCCGGGAGGAATCGCTTCTTTTCTTCACCTCGGTGCGTGTCCTCAACCTGTCGATGATTATGAAATGACAATAAATTCATCTGATGAGACTCCAGGCGGATCCATTTCTCCGAATGGAAGCATCCAAAATTCATGTTTCTTGAGTTCCACTACCACTAGCTTGAGCGATGATAGAATATCAGCTGATTCGGTCGAGAAGAAGAGTCGTTTGAGAGGCGAGTCTTCGATCTCTCTCAACGCATCCATCACCAATGAAACTAATCAGAGCTCAGGAGCCAGTCCGGAGACTCCAACTTCAAAGAAAGGAAGCGAAGTTAAGGATGAAAAAGTGTCCAATTTCTCAAGCAAGGAAAAGGAAAAAAACCAAGAAGAGAACAACATAAATTCAGCGAAATTCGGTCAAGTATTTTCAGCTCCTTTAGGAAACATCAATCTTGAGGCAGAGCAGTCTGCAATGCAGCAACAAATAGTGGACATGTACATGAGAAGTATGCAACAATTTACAGAATCTTTGGCAAAAATGAAGCTACCAATGGATCTAGACAAGCCTGAAATATCCGAAAATCGCAGTGAAGTCATTCAAAACCACAACAATAAGTTAGAGATCGAGAAGAAAAAGGATGGATCGCGAGTGTTCTATGGTAGCCGGGCGTTTTTCTAATGGCTAAATCCATCCATCCTGCTAAATTTCAAGTAAGTAAAGTATTAAGGTTATTGGAGTTTAATTTATGAAACTTTTGTGTTTCCCTCGGCTTCTTTGTTGGTATTTATCATAGATTTTAATCGGTTTAGTTTCCGTTAACCCATTAATATTTTACAGATTCAGTCATGTTGTTTTAAGTCTTGCCAGTGAAATAATATCAATTATATTTTCTGTACACATTAGAATCAGAAAAGCTCAGGATTTCAGCTCTTTTGTTTGCTCAATGTAACTAATATTTCCAGTATATAATATATTCCAAGCATTGTGTTTGACAGTACTTTTTTTTTTTTTTTTTTTTTTGTTGCATCATGGTAGTAATACAACCAGTTAACGAGACGGTTTGTTCACGCTAATGTAGCATACACTCTTATTGATCGGTTGTATTACGACAAAACGTATAGAAATTTATATTTTATTCTCTTGGACTTGCTTTGGAAACTTCTTTTGGTGTGGATGAGGTATATTTTTCTCTTATTGGGGTTTTATTTTAATGTGTATTTGCATTTAGTGGCTGCATTTTGGAAACTTCTTTCTGTCCCTATAATGATGAAAGACAAGAAAAAGAAGGCAATAACACCAAAGAAAAAAGACAGGTAAAAGAGGGAGAAAAATATGCTCAGAATGAACATGTTTTTGGGTACAAAACTGAAAAAAGAAAAAGTAGCACTCGATTTGCCAATTCACTCAACCCAATTAGCTGGTTCCACTAAATCCTGTGCCCCATAAGAAATTTATTATCAACATGATTTTGATATATAAACTTATATGCATTTATTTATAAAGTTAATAATTTCATCGTCCTAAAGATTTTAAAATACTATTAAACCCCTTTTCTGAGATTATCAAAACTACTTTATAAAACTATCAAAAACCTTTCAAACATAAAGGTATTCAATAATTTTCGAAAAATTGTTGGGACGCTTGATTTTCGGAACCCAAAGATGCCCTCTCAAATTAAAGTGAGGGGAAAAAAAAGTCCAGGAAATTACTGATGTGATGCGTTCATGCAATTAATGTAGTATATAATATCGGGAAATAGAAAGAATAGTTAAATTGGTGTAAGTCATGATCGAAGGTTGACAAACAAAGCAAACTTTGTTGAAACCCTAAAATTATTCTGAAAGTTGATATCATTTTCTTGGTGGTGGGTCAAGATTATAGAAATTTTCAACACAATTTGATACGTATCCTTTGAAACATTATGCAAAAAGCACTTGAGAAGATGAATCAAAGAACATGCAAGATCAAATAGAATCCAATGACCCAATAACTTAAAAGAGTAATATAATTTTCAGGAATAAATTTGCTGCATGCGTGAGCTTGTTAAGAATAACCATGTAAGCATTTTCTCCCTTCTCTCAGAGAGAATGATGCTGTGAAGTGTGAACATCTTGATTTTTTTTAAATGGCGATGTCCATTCTTGTTGTCAAGATCAGAATTTCAATCCCGACTCAAACATCTAGATGTTTTGTTCAAGTAAAACCTGTACAACTGTGATATCAAGTGTTCTTTTAATCTGGATAAATTTCAACGTCTCAAACTTTTAAGTCTTGATAGTAAAAATTATCGAGACGTCCTGATAAGAGAAAAAATTTATATGTATGGCTTCGTCACTCTATATATTTTTCTTCTCAACTAAACCTCTTAGTCTTATCTAAACTTTATGTTTGATCATCTAAACAATATTTCTGATTAAGCAAAGCTTTTTTCTGAAAATCATTGTTCTAGCTGGCAAAAAAATGGTATGTTCTTTTAGTATAATGACTTCAAATTTTGCTATGTTATTAATGAGTCAAGAAAAATAAATTATAAATAAATAAAAGTCATAATGAAAAGGGTGTTCATGAATAACTAATATTTGGATCCTGAAACCATCACTGGGTAGCCCAGCGGCCAACTAGAACTCTTGAGTGTATTATTTAAGAAGTCTTCAATCTAATCCACATGGGTTGATAATAGAGGTGATTACTGAGGAGATTTATCTAACTGTTAACTTCAGGGTCCCAGGGGATTAGTTGAGGTACACGTAAACGGCTCCAGATATCCCCAGTTACCAAAAAAATATATATATTTGGATCCTCAAATTCTTTTTTGATTAAAAAAAAAAAAAACCTACTCCATCCAATGCTATGTAATGGACTTCATGCTTGATGCCATCCACCTCAAGCATTTGGACCGTTCTGAAGCCCAATTACTCGTCAAGCACAATAAGAGGTTAAGATGTAAGAAATGAGATACGTTCTCATTTGGACCGTTCTGATGTAAGAAATGAGATACAGCATTTGGACCGTTCTGATGCCATCCACTTCAAGCATTTAGGCCCAATAAAGTTTATCGTCCATAAAATAGCAAAACCCGATATTTAGCCCCTATATTTTGTTGAGGAACGCTAGAGAAATCTATTCTGAATATAAAAAAAATATTATATTTGTTTTAAACACCTATTGTTAGGAGACTAACATTTAACTCTATACAATATTATTATGAGTAAAAATATTGATTTTAAGTATATCATTTATTAAAATTTGTTTTTCAACAAAAAATCAATTAATAGATTGATTTCGGCGTTTTAAGATCAACGACTTTAGAATACTTTATATTAGTCTTAAGTTTAATGTTATAAATACGAATTATTTTCCTTATGGATATTTACATTTTAGCCACGACTCTTCTAATTTTAAAACAACAATATTATATAAACAAATGAATTGTAATATATTTACATCATTTAAAATTAACGATAAATATTTTTGGTCTATTAGATTTATTACTATTAAATTTATTTTTTTTGGTCAAAAAGTATTAAAAACATTCTTATTGTTATAAAAATATATATATAAAATTAAAAAAAAAACTAATGAAGGTGTTTAATATTTTTTGAATTAAAAAAAAAAGAGTTTAATTTTAAGAAAAATGAAATAAAACCGAAAAAAACCGAAAAAAAATATTTAATTAAAAAATATTTTTTATTTACATACGTGGAAAAGGGGACCCCAGCCAAAGCAAGTGGGCCTCTGACCTTTTTCAAGCAATAGCATACGTCCATCACTCACTGTATAGTGTATAGCCACTAGCCAACCCCTCAGATCCTTTCTCCCTGACCCCTTCTCTCCTCTCTCTTTCAAACCCTCACCTGTGTGGACCCTTTCTCACTTTTTCCTCCATGGCTGACTACTCCCGAGCTATCTCCCTCTCCCAACCCCACTCCTCCTCCGATGACTCCTCTGATCACAGCCCCTCTCGCCCCCCAACTTCCCTCTCCGCTTCCGCTTCCTCCTCCAAAACCAAAACCAAAACCATTCGCAACACCACTACCAAGATCACTCTCATTGACCATCACCATCAGATCATTCAATCCCCTTCGGACACCACCGCTAGGAAGCCTCGAGGAAGACCTCCCGGCTCCAAGAACAAACCCAAACCGCCCATTGTCATCACCAAGGACAGTGACTCAGCCATGAAACCAGTCATCCTCGAGATATCCGCTGGGGCTGATATTATTGATCATATCATCAACTTCGCAAGAAGAAACCACGCTGGCATTTCGATAATGAGCGCTTCTGGTTCTGTCTCTAGTGTCGCTCTTCGCCAACCCATTTCTCACGCTCCTTCGCTCTCTTTACATGGACCCTTTAATCTTCTTTCACTCTCCGGCTCTTATTTAAAGTCTCCGAGTAGTGGCGGTGCTTCTTCTTCTTCATCTTCTTGTTGTTTTAGTGTAACTCTTGCAGGAGCGCAAGGACAGGTATTCGGAGGGATAGTGGCCGGGAAAGTGACGGCGGCGAGTCAAGTGGTAGTGGTGGCAGCCACATTCTCCAATCCTTCGTTTCATAGTTTGCCTATTTCCGAAGAAACCGAGCATAATGATCACCATCAGCAACACCACCAAAAGTCTAAACCGAATGATCAGCCTTGTTCAAGTGCGGGGAAGTCCATGCCGGTGTACGGTGTGGCTGTCGCCAGCCCGACTCCTCTTAACTCTCAGATGTCTCCAGATGTTTTGCATTGGGGTCCCCCATCTCGTCCTCCTTACTGAAAAACATGTTCATTGTGGTTAATTTTAAGCTTTTTGGGTGCTGTTGTTGTAGTTTGGTTTTGTTTGATATGAAGTTTTTCTTTTTCTCTATTCTCCATACTTCACTTTCTTTTATCTTTCAGTTCACAAAAGATTTGCATGCAGGCCACTGTGAACGGTAATGGTGGGTCTTCTCTTCTATTCTGATCTCTCGATGTTACTGTTATGTTGTTGTTTTGTGATAAGCCCGAGTGACCTGAAAATTGACCTGCGCAATGTCAGTCTCTGAAGGTTAAAATAAGTTAAAATAACAGGCTCGAAACTCCTCGGGAAGGTCCCATTACCATCTCCAAAGCAAAGAGTTTTAAGCAATCTCAGATAGTCTGAAATATGAACTGAAACAGTCTACATTTCCAGAACTTTCAGCCATTCATAGACCAGAGAGTACTCCACTTCATCATTCCATATATCCTCTTTATCTTGTCTAAAGCAAAGCAACCGGATTAACTAATAACCAGAATGGTTTAATAATGTTATATAATAATGTTTTGAGGTGGTTTTGGACATGGGATATTCTATTTTATCATTTGTGTGCCCATAAAAATATATGATATATTAAGTTATAGGGTCACTACTAAAGGTTTGATTATAAGTTTGGGATCTAAAAATATAAACATAAGAAGATTACTTCTATGTATAGGCTTTTTTTTTTTTTTTCTTTTTTGGTTGATGATCTGGGTATTGAGTTAATTTGTGTACATCTCAACTAATCTTTCGGGTTCTAAAATTAATAATTTATTTTTGGTGCTCGAGAGAGTTTGAGTCAGCTTATGAGCACCTAAATTAATCCTCTAAGGCAACGAACGGATAAACTTCCATTGATCACCCTTATTAATAATCAAGATAAGCGAGGTGGATGAACTCAATACCTTTGGAGTAGGCATGGCAATGGGGTGGAGCGGGGCGGGAATCGCATTTACCGTACCTATCCCCACCCTCAAAATCACTCCCCACCCTTGCCCCATCCTCGTTACTGGGATAACAGGAATTCCCCTTTCCCGCTCTAAAGGGGAATGTTTGAGGCTCGTCCCCGCCCCATTAATTTTACATAAACATAAATTAATTTAAGCATCACCAAACACAATAGTTAATTTTCGTTCACATGACAAACACTTAAATTAATTGTTTAAACATATGAAATTTTACATAAATATGGCTTAGGGTTCAATTGTTTAGGGTGAGGGGAACTGAGAAAATATGGGTTTATATATTATATACGGGACGAAGCGGAGGAAAGGCATCACCCACTCCTACCCTATATAGGGCGGGGTGGGACGGGTCCCCGAAATTTTGGAGAACATTGCCATGCCTACTTTGGAGTAATATGAGTTAACTCAATATCTTTGGAGTAATAAGAGTCCTAATTGATTGGTTTAGACTTGTGTTTATATTAGTTTTATTCTTGTAATTAAACGTTTCAACGGTTTATAAAACTATTCCTAGAATTATCAGAAACCCGTCAGCATTATGAAACACACTATAAGGTTATAGAAAAACTTAGACAAAAGTATCAAAACCCTCCTGAGAAAGGTGTTTGATAGTCTGGCGGAGTTTTTGATAATCTAAAGGGTATAGTTTTTGAAAATTGTGGAAGAGTATCATAGTTTATTATGGATCTCTTAGGTGTGCATCAAATTAACTCCAAATTTATGATGGGAAAAAAGAAGTGTAGATCTGCATTATAAAATAATGCCATGATAGAACAAAATCTTCCATAAATATATCATATCCAATTTATCAGTAACAAGCTCAAGTACAAAGACCTTCCATATTGGCATGTGTGTAGTGGGTGAAGGCTCATTTTTGGGTTGCTGAGCCATGCCCATAATTTTGACCCTACCATCAAAAGAGAAAAACACAGATCTTCCTTGTGTGGAAGGTCGATATAGCAAGCCATGGATTGTGAAAGTCGACACAGTTGTTCAAAATCCAGTCAAAATGAAGCATTGAGACGTGACAATCTTAGCAGAGGGGTTTCAACTCTCTTTCTCTGCTGCAGCCAGCTCTTCTATTTATGACCTTTTCGTCCTCTTTTAACACAGCTAGCGAGAGAAGCAGCTTTTTTCCTTCATCATGAAAGAAAATTCACATTCACATTCATTGTGATTAAATCAAAATCAAAGCCTGGCTTTGGTAATGTTGTGGGGGTACTGTGCTGCTGCTGCTGCAACGACTCAGAAGGGTTAGCCCCAGTGGGTGCACGCGATGTCAGATAAAAATCAGTTTCCCATTGCTAGAGAGATCTATGTGGTTGCCTCCCGTTGGGTGTTTCTTTTTTCACGAGCTAGTAAAATTTGACACAAAGCTGCTTTGACTTCTTCTTTTTACCCTCTTTTCTATTGCCTTGTATATATATACCGTTGGTCGAACTTCGAAAATAATCTTTACTTGGATTCATACTTTTGGATTTTAGCTTGTGTACAAAAGGTAATTCTAGTAATTACCATAGTTAGCCATAATAGAATTGATTGTTTGATACCACGCCTTACAAACTTAATAATCCCCGCCTAGAAAAAGATGTATGCACAACGAATCAATGAGAGCATGTATGCATATATACAATATTTACAACTACTCTATGAGAATGTGTGTGTACATGCAACGCATGTTGACATGAGGGCTTTTTTTCCTTTGATAAATGGGATGTCCGAGTTAGTTTGTGTGCACCTCAACTGATTTTTAAAATCGATTGAACATCTTATAAATCCAGTGGTGGATCCAGCCTAGTTTTGGCCCACTCTCAATTTTTTTTTTAAATACTAATATGTACAATTTCTAGATTTTGGCCCACCCTAACAAAAATATTAATAGACAAAAATATTGATGTGCAATTAGTTTTTATTTTGGCATACCCTAACAGAAATTTCTAGATCCGCTACTATATAAATCTAAAGGACCAGAAATTTATCTTTCAATATTATTGCGGTAGATAGTCCTAAGGTTTAAACCTAAAAAAATGGAGTAAGCCTTCTTAACCGCCAAAGTAACCGCTTAGGGTTAATGTTGACATGATTTGTTCATATTGATAGATTATAAGTGCTTTTTCGTGTGTGTGTGTGTGTGTGTGTGTGTGTGTGTGTGTGTGTGTGTGTGTGTGTGTGTGTGTGTGTGTGCAATGTGTTAACATGATGTGCTCTAATTAACATATTTTCTAGTGCATTTATTATGTGCGTATATACAATGTGTTTTGACAGGAGATGCTCTTATTGACCGATTATTAATTGTATGTGCATAAGAAGTGTTTGTTGAAGTAGATCAAGTAAAATCCAAATAAATACAACCTCCAGTATATAATTTGATGTTTCTTAAAATAACTTTCGATGATCAATTCGTCCTAGATAGTTAGGACGAATTAAGGATAGTATGGATAGACATATGATCTCAGGTTTAATTGTTTATATGAGCATTCACGATTTCTTGTTTTGGGGGGAGGGGGGTTGTGACCATTTAAGTGGGGGTTACGACGATGTATTACTGTATTAGTTTTTTTTGAGGATTAGTTAAAATACGTACAAGTCCACCAGATACCTTGATTAAAAAAAATTATATATTGAAGATGATTACCATTATACTACAACCAGAGATATTGAATTTTTTTATTCATTTAAGAAAAATAGAAAAGACTAATCCCCAAACCCACTGGCTTATTTTTCTATGCCAACTGATCTTTGTTCAAAAAGTGAAAAAGTAAAAATTTAGTAGTATGGAAACAAGAAATCAGAAAAAAGCCCTTGGGAATTGGAATGTTTTTATACGAAGTGGGTAAATCTAGGGTTTTGCTTGCGTAGCTTCTTCAATAATGTACTGTAAGAAGAAGTGTTTTTAACTTAAATTGTGAGGGCCCTAAATGTTTGGTGACATTCTCCAATGCCAAAGGCTGCTGCCTAGTTGCCTAGAATTAGTACTTGGAGTTGGATATATTGTGCGTGTGGGGAACACACAAATGACTTGTTGATCCATTGGGTTTCTTACGGTCCCCTTTTAAAGACCAAAGGACATCTCCATGCTCTCTTCTTGGTTTCTTCCCCACCTCCTTTTCTATTTCTCTCACATTTTTCTTACTCTTTTCCCTCCATTCTCTTTTGGGTTTGGGGTTGAGAGATTGAAATTGAAATTGACTAATACAGTTTGAAATGGGGTAATTACAATTTAGTTTTTGAAATTATTCATTTTTTTTGTATATAGGAATTGATATATTAATTTTGTACATTTAGTATTATTCTTGTATATTATATTAGAAAGTCATAGATTTCAATGTTAATACTTAACTTTCTCTACATGAAACAATGTATTAAATTTTTTAAAATTTGTATTTTAAATGCTACCCTTTAAATGTATAAATTTGAAAAGGTTGTGGATAATCTTTGTATGGATCTTAGGATGATTGATGGGCTTGTGCATATAAAACAGAATTATGGCTCATAAAAAATATGCCTATTCTTTTTTGTTTTAGGACGATTTATGTCACAAAGTTGGATGTATTTACTATTTATTAAAAGAGTAAAGATAAATTAACAAACACTTCTCACAACTTTTTTTCACAAATATTGATGTGGTGGTTCGCATTTGGTCAGGCAAAATCTATTGTAAGCTGACTAATTATGAGTTGACATGTCCTGTCTGTGAAATAAAATTAATGAAAAATGTTTGTGATGTAGTATTACTGTTATTAAAATAGACTTATTACTTACATATCAAATTTAAATATGATATACTCTCTCCGTTTCAATATAATTATCATTTTAAGTTTTTACACAGTTTTTAATAAATCAAAAACTATACAGAGAATTGACTTTTTCCTCATATTGCATGTGGGAAAATTTTGTTTTCCCCGCTACAACACGTGTGAAATATTAAAATAAAGAGAGAAATTGTGAAAGAGAGGAGATGAGGTGAAGAGAGAGAGAGAGAGAGAGAGAGAGAGAGGAGTGTGGGGCAGGGTAGAGATAAAGGTAGAGAGA